CTCTCTCTACAAATGGCGGAGGACGCTTGGAGCTGCAGGAGAAGGCTCAAAAGTGTCCCCAAAACATCTCGCTCCATCGCCCCCCTATCGCCCCCTTTTCGTTCCATCGCCCCCACGCCGCCCCTTTTCGTTCCATCGCCCCCCTGAAAAATGAAATCGCCCCCTGGGGGGCGGTACCGCCCAGGTTAAGAACCACTGTACTAGAAGACCTCTAAGGTCCGTTCCAGCCCCATGGTTCTATGAAATCTATGAAATTATAGAGAAGTATTGAGAATAGAAATATCTAATGTAGAGGGTTGGACTTCGTTAAGGGCCTGGCTCATAGTCTGGAAATGATTCTGATCTACCAAGCATGCATAGCTATGGTTACTAGTAATGCTTTTTATTAGCTTTCCTACTTTGACAGTTGTAGTCTTTTGTAGAGCAAACTGTTTTTAATCATTTTAATGGATTCTATAGTTTTAACCCCATTAGAATATTAGACTATACTTTACACAGTTCTGTCTCTGTGATGAGTTAGAAACTTAATAGAGAATGTGGGGAAGCTAAAATTCTTCTTGCCCAGGTAGAATATAAACCCTTTATTCCACTGTGCATGAAATTATGTTGTATTTGGGAATGGGAGAAAGATCTGTAGTAGCTTTATATTGCTTTTTATGTAATTTTTGCAATCTAAATTTTTAACTACCTCTCAGATATCACATGCATACAATGTCATTTTGCAAAGGTTATAAATATTGATTTGTATTTTACATCATTAAAGCACTAAAGCAAAGTTAGACTGTAAACTTTGAATATATTCTGTTTTAATCTTTTCTGTTAATAATACATTGTCACTGCTTAATATCATAACTGTAACACTCCCATTGTTTGAGTACATTGTTATGCTTTCTGTTGCAGAACTCTGTTTTAATTTTTTTATACCAATAATCTTTAATCTATATAAGAACATTTCTGCAGAAACCAACAGTATTTATTTACAAGTTCCAGTCATTTTAAGACACCTTTCCAAACTTGAAATATTCAAAGTGTATTGTTGCAATTTCCATTATAGCAATTGACGATAACTATCTAGAGATAACAGGAGTAATATAATAACAACAACAACTTTATTGTCACTTTGAGTGTACACTAATTGGCATATATTAAAATTTCATTGCATACAGCTCTCAAAAGACCACCACCTCCAATATACACTACATAAATCTGACCAAAATAAATAAATAAATAGAGAATTATGCATTCTCCAGCATGACGAATGGAGAATCTACCAATGGGTTTTGCTTGTCTTCTGCCCGTATAGACTAAGACTGCCAAATTGCCATGTCCCTCTCCCTGGAGCAGGACCCCAGTCTCAACTTAGTCTCTAGCCCAGAAGGACATA